TCCTGTGAGACAGAGTCTCACTCTGTTGCCCAGGCTGGAGTGCAGTGGCGCAATCTTGGCTCACTACAACCTCCACCTCCCAGATTCAAGTGATTCTCCTGCCTCAGCCTCCTGGGATTATAGGCACCCACCACCATGCCTAGCTAATTTTTGTATTTTTAGTAGAGATAGGGTTTCACCACGTTGACCAGACTGATCTCGAACTCCTGACCTCGTGATACATCTGCCTCGGCCTCCCAAAGTGCTGGGATTACAGGCATGAGCCATTGTGCCCGGCCCTTTTTAACATTTTCTTCCTTTTTTTTTTGAGACGGAGTTTTGCTCTTGTTGCCCAGGCTGAAGTGCAATGGCAGGATCTCAGGTCACCGCAACCTCTGCCTCCTGGGTTCAAGCGATTCTCCTGCCTCAGCCTTCCAAGTAGCTGGGATTACAGGCATCTGCTACCACCCCCGGCTAATTTTGTTTTTTTTTTTGAGATGGAGTCTCACTCTGTCGCCAGGCTGGAGTGCAGTGGTATGATCTCAGCTCACTGCAACCTCTGCCTCCCGGGTTCAAGTGATTCTCCTGTCTCAGCCTCCTGAGTAGCTGGGACTACAGGCGCCCACCACCACACCCAGCTTATTTTTGTCTTGATCTCTTGACCTCCTGATCTGACTGCCTTACCCTCCCAAAGTGCTGGGATTACAGGCAAGAGCCACCACACCCAGCCTAATTTTGTATTTTCTAGTAGCGACAGGTTTCCACATGTTGGTCAGGCTGGTCTCGAACTCCCAACCTCAGGTGATCTGTCCACCTCACCTCCCAAAGTGCTGGGATTACAGGCATGAGCCACCGCACCCGGCCCATTTTCTTCCATTCTATGATTGTCTAGAGAGACACCGCTTTCTCTTGTGAATGCAAATTACCTTAGGTTACTCCTGGGATTTTTGTACTCATCTTCAATTTTCTGATCTTTCCATTTTTTACCTAAAATATAGATGCAGAAAAATAGTCCTGAATTAGTAAAATTATGAAAAAATTACTAGATTCTATGTTCATGGTACACTGTAGCCTTGCTTCATTTATTCATATTTCTATTCCCTGTCCACCCTCCAAATCACCCAACAGTACTGACAAGCTACAAATACTTGTTCTCTAATTCACTGAGGAAAGTAATGCTGTCACTCTTACCTACAGAAGCCAGGTTCCTGAACGTCTCCTGCATTACATCTCTGTAGAGATTCTTCTGGGAAGGATCCAGCAAAGCCCACTCATCCTGGGTAAAATTCACATCTACATCCTCAAAGGCCACTGAATCCTGAAACATCTCACACAGGTAAAGAAACATGGGTGAGATTGACGGCACTGGGTTCCTATACTCTATTCCTACAAAATTCTCATGGTGCTGTGAACTCCAAACATTTATTCCATGATTTGATCCATCAGACTTTTTTTTTTTTGAGACAGAGTCTTGCTCTGATGCCAGGCTGGAGTGCAGTGGTGCAATCTGCACTCACTGCAACCTCTGTCTCCTGGGTTCAAGCTGTTCCTCCATCTCAGCCTCCCAAGTAACTGGGACCGCAGGCACGTGCCACCACGCACGGCTAATTTTTGCATTTTTAATAGAGACAGGGTTTCACTATGTTGGCCAGGATGGTCTCGATCTCTTGACCTTGTGATCCACCTGCCTCGGCCTCCCAAAGTGCTGGGATTACAGGTGTGAGCCACCGCACCCGGCCCCATCAGACTTTTTACTCTGTCAACACTCACTCTCTTCCATAAAGAAATTCTTTTTTTTTTTTTTGAGACAGTCTCGCTGTCACCCAGGCAGCGGCATCATCTTGGCTCACTGCAAACTCCGCCTGCCAGGTTCAAGCAATTCTCATGCTTCAGCCTCCCGACTAGCTGGGATTACAGGTGCCCACCACCACACCCAGCTAATTTTTGTATTTTGAATAGAGACAGGGTTTCACCGTGTTGGCCAGGCTGGTCTGAAACTCCTGACCACAAGCGATTTGCCTGCCTCGGCCTCCCAAAGTACTGGAATTATAGGCATGAGTCACCGTGCCGGGCTGAGGCCCTACTAATCTGACTGATAAGAGTCATAACTAACTAAAACAAAAAATCAAGAGCAGAAACCTTTCTTGGAAACTGTGCTTGGTTAGAAAAGCCTGGATTATAATTGATTAATTGCTCAAAGTTGAATGGCAACAAGATTGAGAGGCAAAAACTCCAGGGTGTCCAGTCTCAACAAAAAGGTAAATATTTATCAAATACAAAAACTTTTGTGTGAAGTGGTGTAAGAGAACTCCATCAAGAGAGAAAATGAACCCCATGTGCTCTGTCCAAAGGATTGTAAATGGTTTAGCCCCTATCGAATAGTATGATGGTGCCTGAAAAAAATAATAAAATTATCATATATTTTAGCAACCCACTTTTGTGTGTCTCTTTCTCTCTCTCTTTTTTTGTTTTTTTGAGATGGAGTTTCACTCTGTTGCCCAGACTGGAGTACAATGGCGTGATCTTGGCTCACCACAACCTCTGCCTCCTGGGTTCAAGCGATTCTCCTGCCTCACACTCCTGGGTAGCTGGGATTATAGGCATGTGCCACCACACCTAGTTAATTTTTGTATTTAGTAGAGACAATGTTTCACCAAGTTGGTCAGGCTAGTTTCAAACTCCTGACCTTGTGATCTGCCAGCCTCGGCCTCCCAAAGTGCTGGAGTTATAGGCATGAGCCACCGCACCCTTAGATCATGAATATTTTTGGGTGGCACATTCTGTAGCAACAAGAGGGTGAGATTCTCCTTTGCTCCCAGAGGAGGATGATATTCCCAGTATTCGATTTATGCTGCAGGCTGATATGAAAATGAAACTCACTAGGCTATAAAGGATAAAAATGTACAAATTTACACTATAACAGTATAATGCTATATAGTCTAATACCATTTATATATGGCAATTATATATCATATACAAGTTACATGTAATATTTACCAATTACCTACCATAACCAAACAATGTACTATATATAAATGCAGCATATGTACATGTGTTTGTGTATATATACACACACGCACTGTATCTGGTACTAGACAATGCTTGACTGTACATGAATATCTCTCCCTTTTTTTTTCTTTTTTTTTTGAGACGGAGTTTCTTTCTTGTTACCCAGGCTAGAGTGCAATGGCATGATCTCGGCTCACCGCAACCTCCGCCTCCTGGGTTCAGGCAATTCTCCTGCCTCAGCCTCCTGAGTAGCTGGGATTACAGGCACGCGCCACCATGCCCAGCTAATTTTTTGTATTTTTTAGTAGAGACGGGGTTTCACCATGTTGACCAGGATGGTCTCGATCTCTTGACCTCGTGATCCACCCGCCTCGGCCTCCCAAAGTGCTGGGATTACAGGCGTGAGCCACCGCGCCCGGCCCTCTCCTTTAAATTTCAACAGAAAATACCTTACCAAAATATTGGAAAAGAGAATGCTGCAATATATAACTATATCATAACCCATGATGAAGTGGCATTCAATTCAGGAAAGCAATACTGCTTTTAACTCTGAAAATCCATTCATGCAATACACCTTAATAGTATAGGATCAACAGCAAACAACACAAGAACATTCTAAAAGATGCAGAAAAAGCACATAACAAACCTTGACATCCCTTCATGATCAAACACTTGGCCAGGCACAGTGCCTTACACCTGTAATCCCAGCACTTTGGGAAGCCCAGGCGGATGAATCGCCTGAGGTCAGGAGTTTGAGACCAGCCTGGCCAACACGGGGAAACCCCGTCTCTACTAAAAATACAAAAATTAGCTGGGTGTGGTGGCACGTGCCTGTAATCCCAGCTACTCGGGAAGCTGAGGCAGAAGAATGACTTCAACCCAGGAGGTGGAAGTTGCAGTGAGCTGAGGTTGCAGTATTGCACTCCAGCCTGAGTAACAAGAGTGAAACTCCGTCTCAAAAAAAAAAAAAAAAAAATCCACTCAATACAAAGGAACTTTCTCAACCTACTATAAGGTATATATAAAAAATGCAAAACAACCCTCATTTGTGATGGTGAAGGACTAACTGCTTTCTCCCAAAGATAAGACACAGACAAGGATGTCTGCTCTCATGCCTTCTACTCAGCTTGAGAAGGGAGATGCTACTAGGCCAACCAGGTCAGAAAATAAAAGCCTTCCAGATTTATAGTAAATATACATGCACGGTGAGGTTGAGACTGCACTGAGCCAAGATTGCACCACTGCACTACAGCCTGGGTGACAAAATGAGATCCTGTTTCAAACAATAAAAAAACTTTCTGTTTTGGCAAATACACTTAACATAATGAAAGAGAGTTGGGCTCGGTGGCTCACACCTGTAATCCCAGCGCTTCAGGAGGCTGCGCAGGTGGATCACCTGAGGTCAAGAGTTGGAGACCAGCCTGACCAACATAGTGAAACCCCGTCTCTATTAAAAATACAAAAAATTAGCTAGGCATGATGGTGGGTGCCTAGCTAACTGGGCACCAGTAATCCCAGCTAACTGGGAGGCTGAGGCAGGAGAATCACTTGAACCCGAGAGGCGGAGGCTGCAGTGAGCTGAGATTGTGCCATTGTACTCCAGCCTGGGTGACAGTAGGAGACCCCATCTCAAAAAAAAGAAAAGACAGGCTGTAGACTGGGACAAAATATTTGCAAGATACCTGTCTAATGGAGGACTGACACCCAAAAGATAGAAAGAACTCCCAAAACTCAATAAGAAAACAACCAACCAGGCCGGGCGCGGTGGCTCAAGCCTGTAATCCCAGCACTTTGGGAGGCCGAGGCGGGTGGATCACGAGGTCAAGAGATCGAGACCATCCTGGTCAACATGGTGAAACCCCGTCTCTACTAAAAATACAAAAAAAATTAGCTGGGCATGGTGGTGCGTGCTTGTAATCCCAGCTACTCAGGAGGCTGAGGCAGGAGAATTGCCTGAACCCAGGAGGCGGAGGTTGCGGTGAGCCAAGATCGCGCCATTGCACTCCAGCCTGGGTAACATGAGTGAAACTCCGCCTCAAAAAAAAAAGAAAACAACCAACCAATCAAAAATAGCATGCCATTAGAGAAGAGCAAACGAAAACAACGACGCACCACTGAATTGTTGCTTGGTGGAGTGGTTAAAATCCAAAAAACACTGACATCACCAAATGCTGGTGAAAATGTGAAACCTATCTTGAGGTTTAAAGCAGTGTGATTCTGGGGTTGAATCATCTGACTGGCAGTAGTAACATAGCCAGCTGGAATCTTCCTGTTCCTGAACACAGATTAACTTGCTTTTGTACCTATATTCTTTTGTAAAATATTGCAAATCCCTGAACAGAGCCAGGAAGGGCCCCTTTTCTCTTCTTTTTTTTTTTTTTTTTAAGACTGGGTTTCACCATGTTGGTCAGGCTGGTCTTGAACTCCCGACCTCAGGTGATCCGCCCACCTTGACCTCCAAAGTGCTTGGATTACAGGCATGAGCCACCATACCTGGCTGCCCCTTTTCTCTTGATCTTCATTATAGATTAACTTCTCTCTCTTACCTTTCTCACACAAAGACTTCACGGCCATCACAATGTCTTAAGCTGGAATGTCAAATTTGATACTGGCTCACTGCAGCATCAAACTCCTGGACTCCAGTGTTCCTCCTGCCTCAGACTGCTTTGTGGCTGGAACTACAGGTGAGTGCCACCACGCCTGTCTAATTTTTCTATTTTTCTTTTCTAGAGATGGGTTTGTTGTATTACCAAGGCTAGTCTCCAACTTCTGGTCTCAAGCAATCCTCCTGCCTCAGCCTCACAAAGGTAGGATTACAGGTGTGGGACACCCCACTCAGTCAAAAGTTAAACTTTTTTTTTTTTTTTTTTGAGACTGAGTCTCACTCTGTCACCAGGCTGGAGTGCAGTGGCGTGATCTTGGCTCACTGCAACCTCTGCCTCCCCTGTTCAAGCGATTCTCCTGCCTTGGCCTTCCCGGTAGCTGGGACTATAGGCATGTGCCACTATGCCCAGCTAATTTTTTTTTTTTTTTTGAGATGGTGTTTCTCTCTCACTGTCCAGGCTGGAGTGCAATGGCGCAATTTCAGCTCTCTGCAACCCCCGCCTCCCAGGTTCAAAAGATTCTCCTGCCTCAGCCTTCTGAGTAGCTGGGATTATAGGCATGCACTACCACACCCAACTAATTTTTTTTTTTTTAAAGACAGGGTTTCACCATGGCCAGGATGGTCTCGATCTCTTGACCTCATGATCCGCCTGCCTTGGCCTCCCAAGGTGTTGGGATTACAGGCATGAGCCACCACGCCCAGCCCCAACTAATTATTTGTATTTTTAGTAGAGAGGGGATTTCTACATGTTGGTCAGGCTGGTCGAAAACTCCTAACCTCAGGTGATCCACTGGAATTGGCCTCCCAAACTGCTGGGATTACAGGTGTGAGCCACCATACCCAGCCACCCACCATGCCCAGCTAATTTTTGTATTTTTAGTAGAGACAGGGTTTCACCATGTTGGCCAGGATGGTCTCGATCTCTTGACCTTGTGATCCACCTGCCTTGGCCTCCCAAAGTGCTGGGATGACAGGCGTGAGCCACCATGCCCGGCCAAGAGTTTAACTTTTAACTCTAGAGTTCTAAGCCCATTTCCCTAGAATCTGTATTTTCCTGAATGGCAATTCTCAGATTTTCGCTCAAATAATCTCCTTATAATGGGAATCCGATCGTTTCAATTATTTAAGGTTGAAAAGTCCAAATAAGGCGACTACATCACTGTAGCCAATATAGTATTTTTTTGATTTTTATTCTACTGCACCATATGAAAGCCTATCCTTCAACCTGTAAACTAAAAATAAAAACCTATGCTCCCCACCCCACCTCAATCAAGTCAACTGACTGGCTCTTTACCAACGGGAGGCCCCCGAAAACCTGAAAGTTCCCAGCTATGTCAGTAAGGGAGATCAGACACTCCACACTCTCCCTTCTGGAGTTTAGATGGAGCAACTGACCCACATTCATGTTAAAATAGACATAACTGCAAAGAGACTGAGCGTGGTGGCTCACTCCTGTAATCCTAGCACTTTTGGAGGTTGAGGCGGGTGGATCATTTGAGGTCAGGAGTTCGAGACCATCCTGGCCAACATGGTGAAACCTTGCCTCTACTAAAAATACAAAACAATTAGCCGGGCGTGGTGGTGGGCGCCTGTAATCCTAGCTATTTGGGAGGCTGAGGCAGGAGAATTGCTTGAATCTGGGAGACGGAGTTTGCAGTGAGCCAAGATCGTGTGCACTCCAGCTTGGGCTACAGAGCAAGACTACATCTTAAAAAAAGACCTGCAAAGAGACCCTTTGTGCCAATAAAATACTAAATAGCAAACAAGACCTAAGGCCATGCAAGGGAAGGATTAAGTCACGCCTTAGAATTCATAAAATCTAGTGAAATAGATCGGTTTTTTGACAGGGATGGAATCACATGGCAAGTAACAGACCCCCTTCGCTTATGCATTCCTTCCTGCCCCTTTCAAATTTTGGACACAACTTCACACTCTCAACCAACTGCCAGCTACAGAATCCCTGAACCACCTGTGCCTTCTAAGCCCCGCTTCTATGTGTCCTGCCTTTCCCTCCTTCCACGCATTGATTTATGATTTTCCCTGCAATTCCTGTCTCGCTGAAATGAATAAAACCAAACTGCCATTGAACCTCCTGGGGATCACTTCCTGGAGGCTTCAGAGGGTTGTTTCCCTTGGTTATGTTCTCTCATATTCGGTGTAGAATATAGATCAAGTTATTTTGCAGAGAGTTTTGGTTTTTCCATTATTAAACCACAAGCCATGACTGGGTGTTTCTCATTCAGGAATCGCTGTTTGCTCAAGTGAACTCTATTTTTTTTTCAAACTCCTATTCTGAGAAGGAAAACTCTTTAATATTTAAGATGCCTCAGTTTAGGGTTTTTTGTTGTTGTTGTTGTTGTTCTTTCTGTTTTGTTTTGTTTGAGACGAGGTGTCTCCCTCTGTCGCCCAGGCTGGAGTGCAGTGGTGCGACCTCGGCTCACAGCGGTCTCAACCTCCACCCTCAAGCGACCCTCCCACCTCAGTCCCCCGGGACTGAGTAGCTGAGACTTACAAGTGGGCGGCATCACCGCACCTTTAATTTATTTTTTATAGAAACGGGGGTCTCGCCATGTTGCGCAGGCAGGTTTCGAATTTCTGGGCTGAAGCAATCCCCCCGCCTCAGCCTCCCCGCCGTCAGCTACTACGCCCGGCCTTCAGTTTAGTTTTTAAGGAAAAAAGGCGGGACTGGTGACCCCACAGCCCACTGCTCCTCCCACACGAACCCCACACCCGAGGCGGGATTCCCCCCATGACTCTCCCGTGATACCAGCACAATCTGCGGAGACGCAGAGCTACACAGAGAGGGCTCCCGGGCCCGGGCCGGGGTCGCGGTCGCAGCGCAGGGGCAGACTGGGCGCCCGGGGTCCCAGCTGCCGGCCCAACTCTACCCTACAGCCGAAGGGACCGAGGGCCCAGCTGCGCCAGTAGCACTCGGGTCTGCAGACCCGATGTCGCCGCGGGGAGGCCCGGATCCCGCCAGAGCCGGTTCCGGCCGGTTCCACACAGCCCCTCCCCCGTCTCGGGACCCCCGGTCCCGCACACTCACCATTTCACAGCTTCCAGGTGTCCTGGCCTCCTCTCCACGGATCCCTCGAACAGTCCACTCACTTCGCAGGCGACCGAGCGACAGAAGCTATGGCGGAGGCACCTGGTCCCTCTCCGGGCCGGAAAGCCGAGATCCCAACCTCCCCTCGGTGCAAGACGCCAGGGAGTCAGGAGAGCGGGAATGCGGCCTCCCCTTCCCCGGATGGACAGCTTGCAGGACCCCGCGCCAGCGCCCCTGATTGGATGAGCCTCCAGTCCCCGTCCCCTCGGTCCTGATTGACAGCGGAAGCCCTGCGTAACGCGGCCCTGCAGAACCCACCTGACCTGTTCTAAGCACTGGTTATCTAAGCGAGCAACTGCGTCTTGCTGTTTGGGTATTTGCATTTCAGCCAAACTTGCTCCGAATTGCTAGAGGGGGCACCGTTGTCTTCCTCACTCAATGAACTGTCCCTGCTCCTTTGTCCTGCACAGGGAATTCCAGACTCGGAGTTCAGTGGAGGTGAAGGAAATTAAAATATTTTAAGCTAAAATATATTTCTTTGACAGATTTTGAAATGGCTGTCGCTCGGTCGCAAAAGAAAGTGGCCTGGCAAAGCTGTCTTTGAGAAGGAAAATTAGCATCTGCAGAGAATCTCCCCTGATGAAACCATCCCCTCTCCCCCTTTATTCCTCCCTTCCCCCCGCCTTTTTTTTTCTTGAGACGGAGTTTTGCTCTTGTGGCCCAGCTGGAGTGCAGTGGCACAATCTCGGCCCACTGCAACCTCCACCTCCCAGGTTCCAGTGATTCTCCTGCCTCAGCCTCCTGAGTAGCTGGGATTACAGGCATGTTCCACCAGGCCTGGCTAATTTGGTATTTTTAGTAGAGACGGGGTATCTCCATGTTGGTCAGTCTGGTCTCAAACTCTCGACCTCAGGTGATCTGCCCACCCTGGCCTCCCAAAGTGCTGGGATTACAGGTGTGAGCCACTGTGCCCGGCTCTTTCTTTCCCTTTATCCAATCTCGGAGAGATTGTGACCCAAACACAGGCAGGGTGCAGTGTTTCATGCCTGTAATCCTAGCATTTCCGGGGGGCTTAGACTGGAGCATCGCTTAAAACAGAGTTGAAGATCAACGTGGTCAACACAAGGAGACCCCCATTTTTATTATTTTAAAAATCTTTACTTCTATCAACTGTATGTTCCCATATAAGTCTTCCGAGCCGGGCGCGGTGGCTCACGCCTGTTTTAGCACTTTGGGAGGCTGAGGTGCGTGGATCACCTGAGGTCAGGAGTTCAAGACCATCCTGGCCATCATGGTGAAACCCCATCTTTAAAAAATAAATAAATAAATAAATAAATAATAAAAGTCTTCCAAGGGGAGCCAAGCGCAATGGCTCCTGCCTGTAATCCCAGCGCTTTGGGACAGCAAGGTGGAGGATCACTTAAAGCCAGGAGTTCCAGACCAGTTTAAGCAATATAGGGAGACTGTCTCTACACAAAATTTAAGGTAGCCGGGGATAGTGGCCTGTATCTGTAGTCCTAGCTATTCTGGAGGCTGAGGCGGTAGGATGGCTTGAGCCCAGAAGGTCAAGGCTGCAGTAAGCCAAGATGGCACCACTGTCCTCTAGCCTCAGCGACAGAGAAGACCTCGCCTTAAACAAACAAACAAAAGAAAAGACAGAAACAAAAATTTTCCAGTTAACTGCTTTGAGGCATTTTCCAGAAAAAAGTTGGTGACGCTCTCCCTGTTAGTGAGCCAGCCATCTTTAACATCCACACGCCCTCTGTGAGTGTGGATTTCTCAGGGTTATGCTAAGAATTCCAGTATTTACAGCAGGTGATTGTCTGGTTATAACATTGTGTTTTCCTTCAATGAGCAGGGGACAAAATAAGGAGAAAAGAAGTAACTAAAGTGGATGAGGTACTTACCCGAGCTATCGCAGTCCTGGAAGACATTTTTTTTTTTTTTTTTGAAGGGTCTCACTTTATTGCCCAGTCTGGAGTGCAATGGTGTGATCACCGTTCATTTATTTTTAGCAGGGCATGCGAGTTATAACCTTCTTTCTGAGGTTGTAATTCTGGTTGTTTTGTGGCTGTTTTCTACAGAATGTTTTGGTTTTGTCATTGTCAACCTAAGAGGAAGAACCTAAGGCAAAATTAATGTAAGCAGAGTGTTTATTTGGGCTAGGCTTGAGGATTGACACTCTGGAGCACAGATTCAAGTTGCACTGAATATACACTTCAATTAGCAACACTTTCAGGTGGATTTATTTATTTATTTATTTATGATGGAGTCTTGCTCTGTCACCAGTCTGGAATGCAGTGGTGTGATCTTGGCTCATTGCAACCCCTGCCTCCCGAATTCAGGTGATTCCCCTGTCTCAGCCTCCCGAGTAGCTGGGACTACAGGAGCATGCCACCACGCCTGGCTAATTTTTTGTAGGGGCTTCACTCTGTTGGCCAAGATGGTCTTGATCTCCTGACTTCATGATCCACCTGACTTGGCCTCCCAAAGTACTGGGATTATAGGCGTTGAGCCACTGGGCCCGGACTCAGGTGGGATTGTTTTTTTTTTTTTTCTTTGAGACCCAGTCTTGCTCTGTCGCCAGGCTGGGGTGCAGTGGCACCATCTCAGCTCACTGCAGCCTTCGCCTCCCAGGTTCAAGCAATTCCCCTGCCTCAGCCCCCCGAGTAGCTGGGACCACAGGCTCACATCACCACACCAGGATAATTTTTCGCATTTTAGTGGAGACAGGGTTTCATCGTGTGGCCAGGAGGGTATCGGTCTCCTGACCTCGTGATCTGCCCGCCTTGGCCTCCCAAAGTGCTAGGATTACAGGCATAAGCCACCTCGCCTAGCCTGCTTCCTCATTTTAATGTCTCTAGGATCCTGATAATTAAAAGAACTCACTTTCCTCGGACAAGAATTCTCTAATTATGCAAAGAGTCACTAGAACGAAAATCTGTGAAGGTCAGACTTAGAACAAGTTCCATTTGGGATGTCTCCTAGAGAAAGGGTTTATTAATTTAACAGTAAATTTAGCTTAAACTAACTCGAGTTGAGAGATTCCTGTTGGTGAAAATGAAGGTCTTAAAGGAGAAAATAATTTCTAAACTGAGAAGGGGACAGAAGGCCATTTTGAATTCCCAGATAAATCCTTAATTTTCTCTGCCTCATCATCTGGCACTGATCCGCCCTTGGGGGGCAGGCTCCATTTCAGCAGTCATGGTTTGACTTCCAAGTTTGGGAATATAATTTACCTTCTGACAGCAGGTTTTCCTTGTGAACTATGCATGAAGCAGGCTGGTTACCTGAACTACTTTAAATGTTTGCTTTACTTTTCTTTTGATTCCTTTATAAGATATTGCTGCCGGCTGGGCACTGTGGTTCACGCCTGTAATCCCAGCACTATGAGAGGCCGAGGCGGGTGGATCATGAGGTCAGGAGTTCGAGACCAGACTGGCCAACATGGTAAAACCCCATCTCTACTAAAAATACAAAAATTAGCCGGGTATGGTGCCGTGTGCCTGTAATGCCAGCTACTCAGGAGGCTGAGACAGGAGACTCGCTTGAACTCAGGAGGCAGAGGTTGCAGTGAGCTGAGATCGCACCATGCACTCCAGCCTGGGAGACAGAGCCAGACCCTGTCTAAAAATATGTATACATATATATCTGCCATATAATTCCAGTTTTTCCATGCCCTTAGTTTTTTTCTGTTGTTGGTGCGTTATTTTTTTTTATTTTTTATTTTTTTTTGAGACGGAGTTTCGCTCATGTTACCCAGGCTGGAGTGCAATGGCGCGATCTCGGCTCNAAGAGAGAAAGGTATGGTATGAGAAAGCCTTGAGCATGCTTCCCATATCCTTATCTTAAATTTCCGATCCTGAGACTATCACACTCTTTATTCTGTTTCAGTCCCGCCTGGAACTCCCTGCGCACACCAGTGACTCCTCATGCAAGAGGTAGGCAAAGAAATGACCCATTGAGTACAGGAAGTGTCTCCTTTGGCAAACCCGGATTAAGTTCTGCTAAAATGCAAATAGCTCCCATCTGCCCATCCTCCGCAAACCAAGTACAGTGAAGGGGACGAGGGGAAGAAGCCCACCCTGCGTTTGAGGGCTGGGCCCGAGACCTGCTCATTCCCGCTCCACTAGTGGGTATCACATCTCCTGTCATTCACATCTGTCAAGATACAGGGGCAGAGCCTGAAGCAGTACCCAATCAGGAGCGCCAGGGCGGAGCTCTGCGATCGGTCCAATCAGGCGCGCCGCCGGGGACGCAGCTGCAGACGTTCAACCGTCTCGCGGGATTTTCATTTCTCGCGTCCGCCGTACTTGGTTTCGCTTCGCCGGTCTCAGAGGCCCGGAGTGGCGCGGCTGCACCCTGTGTGGCGCTGTTCCCTGTGCCGGCCTTGGGATCCGGAGGGAGGAAGCCGGGACACCCGGGAGCCAGGAAATGGTGAGTGTGTCGGCTCCAGCGTCCCGAGACCGGGAGGAGGGGCTGATTGGACGACCGGAACTGGCTGTGGCGGGGCCCGGGCCTTCCCGCGGGTGACTCTGGGTCTGCATACCCGAGTCCCTCTGGCGCAGCTCAGCCCTCGGTCCCCTCGGCCGCAGGGTGGGGCTGGGCCGGCAGCCGGGACCTCGGGCGTCTTGTTCCGCCCTGTGCCGCGATTGCGGCCCCGGCCCCGGAGCCCCGAGTCTCCCCAGATTGTGTAGGGGCCACGGGAGGGTCATGGGGTGGGGGAAATCCTGACTTGTACGTGGAAGGAGCTGTGGTCTGTGAGGTCCCAGTTTCTTTTCTCTCCCCAGAGGACACCTGTTTTCCCCTGAGTTTTATAAGTGTATGGGATGCAGGGTCCCAAAACCTCATCCCGTCCCCCAGCTTGCTGTTTCTAGGTTTGCGGTAAATCCCCAATTTTCCGGTTCTCTTCTCGCTTTTCCAGACGCCAACCTCTCCCCTCCAATTCACGACAACATTAGCAACCGTTTCTCTTATTCTACATTTCAAACATTGTGGTTTCATTGTTTATTTTTCAACAAAGCAATAGATGACTCTTCCATAAAGATTTGTTTTCTGTTCGTAGTCTTGATACTCCGCTTAAAAAAAAAAACCTTCGTGCCCTTCCTTTTATCTTCCCTAGGCACGGACACCTCATCAGAATGTCTTTGAGTTGAGGTTCCCCTTGGGAATCTTTACAGGATGATATGCCTTCAGCACGCCCTCCTATTTATTTTTTCCTGGTTTTGCGTTTCAAAACTGACTGGGGCTGACTCGAGCTTCCCACAGCTGCCAAATCTCTTGGAGGGTCCAGTGAATATTGGTTCTTGGGTGACTCCTCGCAGAGGACAATTGAAATAGAAGGCTGGGGCAATGTTCTGAGACTAGGGGAAATCTAGCATATGCTGCTTCTAAATAGCCAACCCCCTGGGGGCACTCAGCTTTTCCTACCTCAGCCCCTTTCCACTCTTTGGAGACACATTGATGGTCAGCCAATCAGAT